AAACTAGGGAGGAGTCAGAAGGAAGCTGGTTTGAGCTCAGCACCTTCCTTAGCAAGCTGTGAGAACTGGGCTCTTCAATTTTAAAGTCTCAGTTTCCTCATGTGTAAAAGAAGGGTTCTGAGTTTGATACCCCAAATCTCTTTCAGGCATACATTTTTTTTTTTGCTTCCAAGGATTCCTGCAATTAGTAAAGAAATATAAGACATTTAAGTAGGAAACCAAAGTAAAATTATCTGTTTGCAGATATGACCTTACATGCAGAAAATGCTAAGCATTCTACAAAACCAAAAGTAAAACTATAAGCTAAAACTCACAAAGGAAGCCACACCATGTCAAGAATTCTTTTTTATAATACTGATTGATTGGAATTTTGTGATTATGGAGAGTTGGAATGTAGCAGATCTAGAATCAAATTATCTTAGACTACTTTTAACCCCCTAATTGCCATCCATTGCCCACTTGAGTCTGACCTAATGTCCTTGTGACTGTCACATGAAACCTTTTGGGATGCATTAACTTAACAGAGCAGCAGCTTTCACCAACTGAAAAGCTAAGCATGCGTCAGACAAAGTCTGAAACCTGTGGCAGAGATTTCCTTGATGTATTATAACCTTCCTCATTTTTTACCCTGCTTTTGAATAGTGCCTTGATCTAGACTTTCTTTTGTTCTGTAGCTATAAAAATGTCACAAAACCGATACATGCTGGAACATGGTATTTGGGATAACCTGAAACCATGTTCTCAGACTGGAGTCATGTCTGGCTCCAGAATAAACTATCTTTTAATCTCTTTGAAGTGAGAGCTGAGTTTTTGTGTCAAAAACAAAACAAAACCCTTAGAATTAACAAATTAATTCAACAAAGAGGCAGGATGCTAGGTCAACAGAAAAAATGAATTGTATTTCTATATCCTAGTGAACAATCTGAAAAAGAAATTAAGAAAACAATTTCACTTACAAGAATAACAAGAACACAATATTTAGGAATTAATTTAACCAGACTTCTACAATGAAAGGTAGAAATGTTGTTAATAGAATTTAAAGGTAAATAAATAGAAATACATTCATGCTCATGAATTTAAAAACTTAATATTGCTAAGATCTCAATACTATATACAAACAATCTACATGACAGTGCTTACATGAAATACTTAGAGTAGCCAAAATCATAGATATAGAATGGGATTACTAGGACATGGGGAAAGTCACAGGGATCAGATGGTTGGTAGCACAGACTTTTAGTTTTATGAAACGCAAGGAACTATGGAGATAGTGGAAGTGGTCACATGCCACCATGAATATACTTACTTCCATCGGTCTGTATGTTTTTAAAGTGGATAATATGATGCATTTTATTTGGTGTACATTGTTTTACTGAAACTGAGAACAAGAAAAACAATTTCACGATTGCATAAAAACAAAGGAAAAATACCTAAAAATGAACAACATAAAGTTAGTGGAGATGGTGGGGTATATTTAGCATCCATGCTTCCCACCTCATTTCTCTACCACCATCACATCTATAAAAAGCTAAGGAGTATGGGCAGATAAAGGCTAAGTTTGGTTTATTTGTTAAATCTGGTTCCTTTATTTAAAGTTTAAACAATCCTATGCACTTTATTCTTGAAGAATATGTAAATGGTTAATTCTAGAATTAAGCTTCATAAATTTTTGCCCAAACTTAAACTGCATATATTTATTTTATGTCTATGAATTTGGATAATAGTTTACAAATAAATAAGGATTTGTAGAATGTTTCAAATCTGGGAAGAAGCACAGGCAATTTTATATTGGGTCTTAGCCCAAACAGTGCCATAACAAACACTGAAGCCAGAACCTTTGGCTCCCAATAAGCTTTTATGGTTTATGGTAAAAGCTGCACATATGAAGTGCAGTGAAGTGGATAGACAGGAGGTGCTGCCAGATAATGCAGAACAATTAAGAAAGGAAGAGAGCTGCCAATCTGTACTGCTAAGAACCAAAGAATCTGACAGGATTAGGAATCACGTGTACAATCAAAACATGTTCTGACTTTCTTGTGACCCACGGATTACTTTGACTGTTTTTTAATGCCTGTATCTTTATCTGATCACACTCAAACCTACAAAATAACATCAGAAACCAACGAATCTTATGTACTAAAGGAATGGTACCTAGATAAAACTAAGTAGACCTAAATCAGTCTTATTTACTTTTGTAAAACCCGAAATAATATAACTTTAAAGGCAATCAAAATTTTATGTATTGCTATTGTTAAGACACTTGAATACAACTCTATCTTCAAAAGTCCAAGACCACATTTGAGTGTGTACCCTCTTTTTCTTAAGTCCCTCTCCCTCTTTCAATGCTACTACTAAATTTACACTAAAATTTTTCTTAATTAACATTGCTTCATAGGTCTCATCCTGAGGTGGTTTTATGGTGTAGTTGTTTGAGTTTTTTTTTCAGTATAGTTAAAAGTATTTTGGCTTCACTTGAGGAGAGGTTTCTACAAAGCACCCCTTGGGATACAAGTAGCAACATGGGGTATAGCTTATTCTGCTACCGCTACCACTCACAAATGCCATTTAATGCTTTTTTAAAAAACTCAAAGTATGTTTCAAAAACACACCTCTCCCACCCTATTTAATCACATGGGTTTAGCACAAATTTGCCACTGACCTGCATTTTATCTATATCCATTCCTACCTAGCCTTTCTTTACTTGTTTTCCTTTTCAAAAAGCTATCTTTGATACATTCATTTTGACCAAATTTCAGCTACATAAAACGGCAACAGGTAAGAAATACACAATCTCCAGTTGTGATATGTAGATCCTAAAAACCAAACATTCCTTTCAGACACTCTATTTTTCAGGTGATTAAATGATAAATTATATTCTTTCGTATAATTAATATAAAATAGATTTAAAACTATTTTCAGAAAGGGCTGATACTAGTACATATTACTTCAAAATCAGGCTGTTTCTCCCCCTCGTCAGACTCAAATTCTATTGGACATATTTTGCCTCAATTATCCTTACTTATTAACTACTTTAACTGTTATACGTTATCAGCCACAGTAGCTATGCCAGGTGCCTCCAAAATGCCTTCCAGAGATCATGCCTCCTGAGCTTTGAGGACTGTGTTATACTTTCCCTTTCTAATGTGAGTTGGATTTAAGACTCCTAGCAAATACAGCACAGCAGCAATGATAGGGTATCACCTCTAAGGTTAGATTATAAAATACAGGTATTTTCCTTCAGTTTGGATCCTCTTTCCTGGATTGCCTGGAGTAGGGGAAAACAACTACCATTCTGTAAGGTAATGAAGAAACTCGAATGGCAAAGAATCTCGGCCAACCAGAAACCACAAGCATGTCCTTGGAAACAGACCCTTACTCCATCTCAGTGGAGCTTTTCAATAATATCACAATTCCCAACTACAGCTTAACTGATATCTCAAGAAACAACCTGAAATACCCTGTTGATTGTTGCCCTATTTCTTGACTCAAAGAAACCAGGATAATTCATGTTTCCTGTTGTAAACTGTATTAAGTTTAGGGATAACTGTTAACCAGCAGGGCATAAATAATGAAGTAACTCAGATAAGTGTCCATTTAGACAAACTTCATCAAGATTGACGTTTCTAAATTAACCTGAATACAATCAATTTATTTATTCTTCATTCTGACACTCCATTCTGTAAACCACTTCCACAAAGGTAATAGGAAGTTTCTCCCTTAGGAGTGTAAGTACCAAAGTTCAGACATTAAACGAAAGGGTAGAGGGCTTAGTAGGCGGTTGCAAATCTTCAATTTCAATAATACAGGTAATGCTTTGAAGAGACCACTGGGGGGGAGGTCCTTAAAAATAAACGTATGGCTTGTGAACCAAGTAGCCACAATTATTAATTAGTAAATACAGAACGAAAACTTAAAATATATCAAAACAGGAATTGCAAATTGATATGATTTTTGTCTGACGAGAAATATGTATTAAGTATATACCATATTGGGAAGTGTAGTCTAGTCACAGAAAAACAAAAGACAAGAATTTAACGAATTTTATAGTCAAACTGACATCTGTAGCAACTAGCAATCAGCAGTGATCCTAAACTGTATATATTTGGACCCGTATTAATGGGGTGTCATAAAAAAAATCAGAGCGCCTGAGCACTTAATAACAAACACAATCATCACCATAAAAGCAACACATACACCTTAAAAAAGTAACCTTCCCCATTCGTCATCTTTCTTTGAAGACGACCAACACCAAGTCGCTGCGGGCAAGTCCCAAGTCGACCTCTGTACCAATGGCCTTGAAAGAGAAGGTGCCTCTCGACAGTGAGACACCGTTTTCATAAGCCACCGCCGCTGTCACTCAGAATGTCGTACCGTGTCATTGGTCCTAAACGACAGCTTACTGGGCCGGTGCTGCCAAGTGGCGAGCACCCGCCGTCTTGATTCCCGAGCTGGAAAAGTGAAAGCGTACAGGTGGAAGAGGCCTCGGAAGTATCGGGGTCGACGCGAGTACCTGAGCGACCTGCGATCTTCACCGCCGCCGCGACGACTCAGCCTCTGGGCGGGAGCTGTCAGCCGAAAAGAAAATGGCTCAGCCGGGAACCGATGCCCAAGCCATGGAGAGGCCTGTGCAGACCGCACGTGTTCACGCTGGGGAACACGACTGCTGCGGGAGCACCAGAAACAGCCCCAGCCTCCTGGAAACTCGCAGCACCTCCGCCTGCAGGAGCCGGAGGGGCGGACAGGGCAAGTTTTTGACGTTTCCTATTGTTGCCGGAAGTGACGTCGCGGAGGGCGCCTTAAAGAATAAAGGTGGCACTTTCGCAGTTGCAGATTCTCCAGAACGTCTTTATTTCTCGCTTCTTATTCTGAACGACTATAGTCATAAAAATTGTACTAATTTGAAACGTGACACTTACTATAAGGCATATAATTGATAATATTATCTTGAGCTTCAAACTTTCCGAGGAAGACGCGCAAACGGAGTATGGAATCTGCACCGAGAAATCACAGAGTGTGGGGCAGCCCGTGGCTCGGAACGTTTAGCCGCTTTTCGCGGCGCGCTGGAACCCACGGTTCCGAATACAAACGGTCGGCGCGAGAGGAGCCCCGGGGCGCGGGCGCTAGGGCTCCGGGGCTGGACGCCTGGTTCTCGCCACTTTCTCGAGTTACTTGTGCTCCCTTCTTGGTCCGATCGCCTTGGGAACCCTGCCCTTTGCCTGGCGGCTGCCTGCGGACGGGCTGTACTCCGTGGACAGGGTCTCCTGAATGCTGTGCGCACCGAGGATCCGGAGTTGTAGGCGAATGATCAGGTCTGCTGTTCATCCTTTCACACCTAAGGGCAGGAGGGGAACCCTCGATGGGACTTGCTTATGTACCCGACTGGTAGATGCTTTGGAAGACAGCTAAGTAGGAAGACTCGCAATCCACCTCTTAGAATTGATGTGTGACTGACTTAATTCTGCGAGGTTAAATGGACGCTGATATCTCTTGGGTCTTTTCAGTCAAGGATACGTCTAGACTGGCTGGAGGAGTCGGTCCTTCAGGTTTTCATGGTGCTTTTAAAGAATTCTCTATCTACTTTGAAGACTACAGGTTTTTCTCTCTATAGAAAGAAAACTAATTTTAACTTATTTATTTGTTCTAGACTTAGAGCTGCATCAGATTATTTTACAGAATTACTTGCAAGCATTTTTTTTAATCAGTTTTCTATGTAAACACAGTGATGCCACTGAGCCGTTGCTTACATTTAGCCCAGCAAATTCCTTTTTTAAATCCCTCATCAAAACTTTTCTCTTGCAACAGCATTTTCTTAGTATCTAGAGTACGGAGTGATTTTGTAAATTTAATTGCTACAGATCTGTATTCCTCTATCTAAAAATATGGTTTTTAGACATTTGAGCTGGAACTCAAAATCATAGCTATCCATTGCAATTATTAAAGTCTAGTTACTTCACCCTGCAGAAAATGATTTTTGAGTTCAGTGACACCTTATGTATGTAAAGACCTGTAACAACTGTGAGATTGAGGTGGAGTTATAATGAAAAAAATCTTAAGACAGCTGGATTGGGGATCTAGCTCAATAGTAGAGCCATTGAGTGATATGCCAAGGCCCTGGGTTTAATTCCCTTTCCCCACCAATTCAAGTTGTGCTATTCTCACAACCTTTTCCAGAAATTCAGTCGGCAGATTTAATTTGTTCCTAATTCTTCCCAAAACTCTGTAGACTATTGAGACCTTAATGATTGAATCTGTATATTTTCTTTATTTAATGTCTTGTGATAGGTCATATAAAGTGAAAATGAAAATCAGTTTTATTTTTAAGTAATAAGTTTTTTATCTCAGAAATATGTTGAAGATCACTTTCTGGCCGTTTGACTAAGATCAAGTGTAAAGTATGTAACAGTACTTGATTGGGTTCAATTAATAATCTTGATTTTAGTGTTTACCAATTAAAAAAATTAGGAAATCTTTCTTGCGAGCATTTTTTCTATGATCTTCCTTTAATGTCTTTTGTGTTTTCCTTTCTTGTCATCTCATCTTTTCCTTTCACCTACAGATCCAAGCTGTACTTGAATCTTACTCTTCTTCAAATATTTATTCTGCTGGTAATGAAGAGGATGTGTTCCCGGGACATACTTTATTGTCAGAAATTCCATTATCAGAGGTAGAAATATTATAAAGATAAATATGTTCTAGAATATGAGAAAAAGAAAAGATACCACAGAGTATTCGATAAAATCACATGTCCTGGGAAGATGGGATAGGATTGAAAGGAAAGAATTGTGTTAAGTCAGATGGGTCTTAAGACTTGCAATCTTAAATCCCATGAGCAAGGAGGTTTTTAGTTACAGCAAGAGCAGTTCCCACTTCACCTTTTCTAGACAATAAAGGCCGGTATGGGAAGTCTGTCTAACTATTTCCATATGTCTGTCTAGCCCTGGCATCTGCAAAGTTGTGAAATAAGGCTTACAGTATTAATCAATATTTTGTATAATTTGATTTTAGGATCGCTTCCTTTTTTTTCTCCCTAAACTCTTCATTGTCTAAATATGTTAATATTTTTTTTTATTAAAAATTTCTGCCTCCTCCCTGCCTCCCATTTTCCTCCCTTTCTCCCCACTCCTCTCCCCTCCCTCTCCAGTCCTAAGAGCAGTCAGGGTTCTCAGCCCTGTGGGAAGTCAAGGTCCTCCCCGCTCCATCCAGGTCTAGGAAGGTGAGCATCCAAACAGGCTAGGCTCCCACAAAGCCAGTACATACAGGAGGATCAAAACCCAGTGCCATTGGCCTTGGCTTCTCATCAGCCCTCATTGTCCATCATGTTCAGAGAGTCCGGTTTTATCCCATGCTTTTTCAGTCCCAGTCCAGCTGGCCTTGGTGAGCTCCCAATAGATCAGCCCCACTGTCTCAGTGGGTGTGTGCACCCCTCGCTGTCCTGACTTCTTTGCTCATGTTCTCCCTTCTTCTGCTCTTCATTTGGACCTTGGGAGCTCAGTCCGGTGCTCCAATGTGGGTCTCTGTCCCTATCTCCATCCATCACCGGCCAAAGGTTCTATGGTGATATGCAAGATATTCATTCATCAGTATGGCTATAGGATAGGGCCATTTCAGCTTCCCTCTCCTCTGCTGCCCAAGGAACTAGCTGGGGACATCTCCGTGGACACCTGGGAACCCCTCTAGAGTCAAGTCTCTTGCCAACCCTAAAATGGCTCCCTTAATTAAGATATGTACTTCCCTGCTCCCATATCCACCCTTCCTTTATCCCAACCATCCATTTCCCCAAGCTTTCCCCATCCTCCCCTTCTCACTTTTTTCTCCCCATTTCCCCTTACCCCCATCCCACTCCACCCCCAAGTTCCCAAAAAACATATAGTTGCCCTCCTGGATATTGGAAGTAAATATGTTAATCTTTGATCAGTGTAATTTAATGTTTCAAAAATGGCGACCAAAATGCCAATGCAAGAGTTCTTAAAAGTATATTCAGCAGCTTATTCTACACCATGTGTATAAGGAGCAGACTGGAAATGGGAATGGTATTCCTGCAGAGAGAGAATAGGGTGCCCATATCTAGGGAAATGACTGTGGAAATGGGTGGTGGCCCAGGCTTAGAATTTTGCAAATTGCCAGGTTTGTTTACCTCAGAAGAGGTATCTGAAAGGACCATTTTTATGTTGGTTGCTGAAATGTAGACTGGGAAAAATCACATAAAGTATATTTTATCTAATTCTTGACTTGTTCTTTTTTGTTTTTAATGTCAGTGATTTTTTTTAAAGGAGTTTCATTCTCAGAGAATTTGTTTCTCTAGGTACTTTTATAACTTTCTTGAGCAAGATGTTGGTGAACTATGAGTTTGTTTTGTTTTTGAACACAAGCATCTGATTGGCAACTACATGAAATCCAAACCATGGGGATAATAACTAAGTCTGTGCTGTTTGTCTTCATTTCTTATTCTTTATGTAGCTTTTTATAAACATTCAAGATAACCAGTGATGGATAATATTTCAGCTTGGTATATTTTTGCAGATGGTACCAGCTATGGTTTGGATGAAAAGTGTCTTCCATAGACTCTTGTGGTTGATCTCTTGGTCTCCAGCTTGGGGTGCTAATTGGCAGGTTGTGGAATTTTTGATAGGTAGAACCTAGCTAGAGGAAATGGCCTGGGGAGTGAAGATGCTTTGAGACGATAGCCTGATCCCACCTCTGTGCTGTCCTGTCCTCTGGACTGCTGTAATGTGAGCTAGCAGCCACCACACACTCCTGCCACCTTGGAGCTGTGTGTCACCATGGTTTCCATGCTATAAGGGTCTATATCCTCTCAAACACTGAAGCAAGGGGCCACTTTTCCACTGGGTATCATCCTTCTGTTAGGTGTTTGGTCACAGCACAGAGGTAACTCTTGTAGTCCATTATCATCAAGGTAAAATATTTGGGAGAGTGCTAGATAAAATACATTGAATGAATATAAATATAAAGCAAACTTATTTTTGTGAGGAAAAATTAAAGGGAGTGGTTCATGCTAAGTTTATATTTAGGGTTTAGAGTCAGTACCATGCAGTAAGCACTTCACCTGCTACCAAAGCGCTGTTATAAGAAGTAAAGTAGTGTGGTGTAGATGTATGGGGCCTGGAAGAGGCGCACACAGAGTAAAGCAGAGCAGCTTCCCAAAGCACACGCTTAACTGTACTCATGATTTTATTTTTAGATGAAAAGTTACAAGATTTTTTAGGAGTTGGAGCTGAATCTAATATTCAATAATGGCAACAGGTGACTTAAAAAGAAGCTTGCGGAAGCTAGAACAAGTACTTCGTTTGCTAAATTACCCTAATGAAGTGGATTATGTTGGGTAAGCTATAGTACATTTGGTATTTGAAACTTATTTGTGCTTTTCTCATTTTGCTGAAAGTTTGAGATAGTGTGTGACTTGATGGGGGAGGGGTCTTAGGTGAAAATAAAGGGCTAACAAGTTGGTAAAGGACCTGACTGCCAGGCCTGATGACCCTGACTTGCATTCTCAGGACTCACATTGAAACTAGAGATCCAACGCCTTCAAAATGTCCTTTGTGCTCCATAGCTGTACCGAGGGGTATGTGCTGATGAATTAAACAGTTTCTCGGGTGGAGCTGCAGGTGCTCTTAACTACTGAACCATCTTCCAGCCAAATTTTAAAGAATGAGGGCTGCCATAGGAAATCTCGCCACTTAGAATTTTCCATCCTAAGAGCACACATGGTGTAAATGTATGAAATCTATCTTCTGTACAGTGAATGCACAAAGAAATAAATTTGCAAGAAATGGTAACATCTGTGATCTTATTGGCTATATTGAAATGAATACAATTCTGTGGAATGAGGAATGGAAGACTATATAATAAAATCCATTATATCCCATTGAGTTTAAAATTCTATGGAGAGAATATCTAGACTGCTGTACATACAGTTAGAGTGCTCAGCACCTATATCAGGTGCCCTACATCTGCCTGTGCTCTGGGCATGTGCACATATGTGGCACACATACACATCATAAAAGAATCTTTTTAAAATTTTGGCGTGGAGATTTCTGTGGAAAATATGCTGTTTATATGTAAGAACACTATAATTTTAGTTAACCAGTAGTACTGGCTAATTGAAAAAATAATTCATTTGCTGTTTTGTGCAGCAATCAGTAAGACATTTTGCACCAGTAGATGGCTAGACAATTAGAAGTCGAAAGTACGAGGCAGCAGGTATTGAGAGATCAGTATGGATCAGACAGACGATGGCTTCATGAAAATCGGCATTTACCTAATGAGTTACAATAAATAAAGATGGGCAAAGTGTAGAATGCCCTCCTAGACATGAGCACAAGCCAAGAAGGTGCAGTTCTCATGCAAGCAGAAGGGGAATGTCTAATCATAGCATTCACTCTTTCCAGGGTGTTCCTCATTTGTAACTTAGAGTTCATATGATTAACCTATGCAGGTTTGTTTAGGAACAAATGGGTTAACGTAACAAATGTTACAAAACCTTAAAATATTTTTGAGAGCGCTAGGGTAGTATTACTAGGAGAAATAAGATATATCAAGTAAGAATAAACTTTAGAAACCCAATAAAAACTGTAGGAGATAGACTGTACAGCTGTAGTGAGGTTTTGAGCACATGAAAATGAACAGTACTGTTTCATAGTCAGTGGTTTAGAGTAGGGTATAGAATCTAGAAAGTCAGAAATTACGTCATTATTGTGCCTGTAATAATAACTAACTTCCTGACAATGTTGCTAATTTTCCTTAATCAGCTAGCTTTTGGAACTGTGCTTACTGAGTCTTTTCCCTTTGCCCTGGCAGTTTGATGAGAGGGGACACCGCAGCATCCTTGCCCATCATCAGCTATTCTCTTACCTCGTACTCCCCTTATGTAGCAGAGCTTCTCATGGAATCCAATATAGAGCTCATAGCAAAGAATGACGTGCGCTTCACAGACACCGTTTATAAGGTATTTTGAGTTCACAAAATAATAATTACTTGAGAAACTATTGAATGATTTTTAAAATTAATACTTTAGTAATAATTACCGAAACACAGTTGTGTATTTCCTTAACAATGTTATACATTCTGAGAAACTGATAGGCAATTTTGCCATTGGACAAGCATCATAGTGTGCTTGTACAGACCTAACTGTAGTCTGTACACATAGCCTATTGCTCCAGAGCTACAGCTTGTAACATGTCCCTGTTCTGTATATAGTGTGAATTATAGTGCAATATAAATATCTATGTGTCTAAACATGTAAGAAATTTAGTTAAAATACTAGGCAATAGGAAAAAAGTCAGCTTTATCATAATCTAGGGCCACTATCATGTGTTGTTATGTATCACATGTATGTTTATTTGACAGTATTTTCATAGGTGTTTATCTCATTAAAATGTGGTCTCTGTAGCTGACCTGAGCTCATGGGAGCTCACAGACTTTGGACCAACAGCTAGGGAGCCTGCATGAGACTGACCTAGGCCCTCTGCATGTGTTTGACAGTAGCTTGGTTTGTGGGGCTCCTAGCAGTGGGATCAGGACATGTCTCTGGAGCTTGAGCTGGCTTTTGGGAACCTATTCCCCATGCTGGATTGCCTAGCCCAACTTTGATGCAGGGGAAGTAGCTTGCTCCTGCCTCAACTTGATATGCCATACTTTGTTGACTTCTGTGGGAGGCCAGCCCCTTCCTGAACAGAAACAGAGGAGTGGATGGGGGAAGGGCAAAGGAGAGGGGGAAGTTGGGAGGAGAGAAGGGAGGGGAAACTGGTCTGGATGTAAAATGAATGAAAAAATTTAATAAAAAAATAGGATCTGTATCGAAATTAAGTTGTAATTCATGTTTGCTTTGTCTGTTTACTCTTAATTATGGCAACTGGTAAATGTTTGTCACTGGCTATAATTTGCCTGCCTTTTATGAAATTTTAGTAAAACTTTGTGTCCTGGAGGAAGCAAGAGAGAGAACTTATAGTCCACAGGCTTCTGCACTTGTGAGACACAAACTGAACCTTCTGTAGTTTGTTCCTTGAGACCTGAACCCAGGTCTCATATCTGCAGTAGCATCTGCATACCTAGATGGAGACTAACTTTGATGTCAGTTAGTTTTGATTTTTAAGAACCTTAATGTTTACCGTTCAGTTTGGTCAAGTACTGTGATTTGTGTGTATGTGTGTAGCTATTACCTTCTGACCAAGTGGCTATATAATTTTGAACTAAATATTACCTTTATTTCTTCACAGCTTCTTCGTGATCAATTTGATTATAAGCCAATTTTGACAAAAAAGCAGTTTATACAGTCTGGATTTGCTGAGTGGAAAATCCAAATTGTCTGTGATGTGTTGAATTGTGTGATGAAAAAGCACAAGGAATTGATTGGCTCTGACAAGGTGATTTAATGAATAGATTTCAGTAGAGACTTATGCTAAATACCCAAATGTTTGAATAAATAGCAAATTATTTAAAAATGCAATTGTCACTTGACTTGCTGGACCCAGAAGTTCTTTTTCTCATTAGACTTTAATGATTAGAGAAAGAATTCAAAGACAGACATAGAAGAGATGTAAGCATTGTAACAGAGTTACTGTCAAAGCGAAAGCAATAGTGCCTTTCTTCTGGGATGGGAATGGCAGCTAAGAGGGTAAGTGAATATCCCAGATGCTTAGGCATCAGCGTTTTATGAATGGAAGGGAATTCTTCTGTTAATGCTATATGCATAATTGTGGAATTTCCTAGGAATTTCAGGGACGTTTCTAGGAACTAGGGTTAGTTTGGACCAAACATGGGTTGTTGAGAACCAAGATGGAATTTGAAGGAATGAGAGTGTTAAAACACAGAGATGCTGAGGAATCCTCCCTCCAGACTTTTAGGTCTCAGGATTCCTCTACAGGACGTACATTATTTCATAGTTAGCTTCCTACAGAATATAGGCCACTGCAATACCCAGATGTCCTACAGTCTGTACCTGGATAAGGCCAGGAGCGCCTAGTTAATTCTAAATCCCATTGGTCCACACAGCCCATCTATCCGATGCCATAGTTGCTGCATTGTCCACATATGGGGCATAACCCTCTCAAAGGTCATCGTGTCTCTGATACCAGCCACATTTCTTACATATGTGTGACCTGGATCTAAGTTAACAGTTCAAATATAATGTATTTTGTCACTTCTAAAAGTTTTTGCTTGTTTTATTTTCTTGTTTGTTTTTAACTGCGTAGTCCGGGCTGGCCTTGAACTTTCAATGTAACTAAAGCTGGCCTCAGTCCTCTTCCTCCCACTTCTAAATATGGGATTAGAGCACCACCATACCAGTCTCACTTAAACTTACAATAAACAAATAAGCAAAAGCATGTTTGATTACTTTCACTATTTGCTGTTATCAAAAATAAGTACTGAAATAACGGAATTTAAATGTACATCATACTTTTCTATAAGATATATTATTTTGTCTAATTCTTTTCCTTTTTTAGAATCCATCATGCCAAAAAAAGAAGAACGTCTCTGAAAAGCCAGAACCTTGTTTGAGCAGTGAGAACCCCACTGTAGAGGCTGTTGGTGTTGACATCACTGGCAGGTTCATGACTTCAGGGAAGGTGTGAAAATAGAAAGAATGGAGCATATCTGAATGCAGTAAAGATTCTTCTCTGACTGGCATTTGGTGACACATTGTGGTCAGATACCACAGTATGCAAGGCATTTTTATTAGTCTTTATTAGTTTGTTTCATTTCTTTATATAGGTACTTTGGTCATATCCACCCCCACTGCCCTTCCCGTACCTACCCTCCCCTCAAATAGTCTCAGCAGAAGAGTATAAAATTGAAAAATCAATTGTACTTTATTTTTCTAATTTTCAATCATTTTAATTTCCTAGATAAATTTAGTAAGGTTATATTACAGAGGTGTTGACATCTACTCTTTTAAAATGTATGTGTGTGTGTGTGTGTGTGTGTGTGTGTGTGTGTGTGTTTCTTTTAATCTTATATGTATGTATACCAGAAGGGAACAGAAGAGGGTGTCATATCCCTTGGAACAGGAGTCATGGGTGGTTGTGAGGCTCCAAGTGGGTGCTGGAAATGAAGCCTCTGTCATAAGTGTTCTTAACCTGAGCATCTTTGCAGCCCTTGAGAATATGCTCTTAATTACAAACCTGATCATCCTAACAACCCCTTAGTAACCAGAGTGATCATAATGATCCACTTAGATGCATTAATAACCTAGAATATAGATTATCTAATAACTGCTTTTGGGTATTCTCTATTACTAGGTATAGATTGTCTCGGCCTTTGTCTGCTTTGAGCATCTGTGGCTAAATGAATCTAATACGTGTAGAGATAGCATTTTTCCATATCTAAGGGAACTCAAAGCTAAAATGCCATTTGCATAATAAATGTGTTTCCAGCTATTTTACTTCTGGGTGAGAGGACAGAATACAGACAAATAACCAGCATGCAATTAGATAAAGATGTTAAATATTTCTAGATAAATTAAAATACATAGAATTATTTATTCCCTAATCCAAAATACATGACTAGCAGAGCCTTAATTCCAAGAGCTTGAATAACTGCTACAAGACTGATAGAATTTATAAATATATTTCTTTATCAACAGAAAGTGAGTCAGTGCTGAAGCTAATTATCTTCTTCCTGATGCCTCATGTCCTATCGATGCATTTTATGATTTCTTTATCACATGATAGGGGTTTTCAGTGTCTGCACGGACAGTGCATAGGCATAAAGAGTGGGTAAAGAGTTAATGTGAGGTCCTTGTTAGTACTTCTTCCTTTTCAAATTTTGAACTTTTAGCTGAAGGTAAAATATATATTGTGATTCTTTCAATAGAAAATATTATAGTGTGTCTTCACTATAATATTTATAGTGATATTTATAGTAATATTTATAATATATATAGTTGTTGATTTTTTGATTATTTAACCTATAAATTATGTCACAACTTTTGTTTATTTGTTTATTCATTGACAGAATCTCACTGTATAGCTTAGGCTAGCCTGGACCTTATAATTCTGCATGGGCTTACTGAGTGCTGGGATTATGGTTGTGTGCTACCACACCTAATATATTTTTGTCTTCATTTGTTTGTTTTTAACTTTCTATCATGTAACACTTCAAACATTTACAAAAGCACAGAGCATCCTATTTCAACAATTAATCAAATCTTTACTAATTCTCTTTCATCTTTTCTATAACCACTTTCTCCAGCATATTGAAAAAACCTAGATATGTTTAAAGTATATTTTAGTGTTTAACCTAAGACATAAAAATGCTTTTTAAAAGGTGAATTACAATTTCACCAATGCATTAAAATATATAAATATTAACATGCTGTGATACATTGTATGTGGTAATTTAAGTGTTTTAAACAGTTATAGTCTAGAGAATTACTCTGAATATACATAAAGTAGTTGTGCAGTTTCACAATTAAACTAGTTCTTCCATGCTCGTCTCTATGCAGAAAAAAGCTGTGGTCATCCGTCACCTGTACACTGAAGACAGCGCTGACAAGTCCGAAGGGACAGGATGTTCGGCAGAAGTGAGTGAAGGCTGTGAAGATTCAGAGCAGACCTCTGACATCATGATTGCTGAGGAGCAGGTCTCCAATGTTGTGATTGCTGACGAGCAGGCCTCTGACGTCAAGACTGAGCTGAAAGTAAGGGCCGAGGACCTCTTTGACAGATTTCTTCAGTATCTGATTATTTCAGTGTTTGAAAGTTGGAATATTTAAAAGTTATAATTTAATATAACTCTTAAATGATGACATCTGCGTTATAACTTAAGAGCCAGTCAATCTTACTAAATGTGATTCAGTGAATTCCAGTTGTTAGATCTGATTGGAGGTTTCCCTGAGTTTGAAGTACAGCAAACAGAGGTAAGAGATGGTATGCCCAGGGAAATTACTCTCCAGCCAGAGACTTGTGCCGCTTTGCACAGTGCAGTTTTCTACCACTTGTTTCCTCTATTGGCAAATAGAAAAAAGCTTGGCCTTTTATTCCTGTTTTCTCTTTGGTGAGTCTTTGCTGTATTTTCTCCAAGGGCCGTGGTCTCACTGTGTAGCCTTGGCCAAAGTGTAGTCCAAAGTGGCTTCAGATTTGTGTTAAACTCCTGCCTAGCCTTTTGTGTGGAGCTTATAGATGTGCGCTATCCTACCTGACTCCTTGCTGTCCTATCATTTCTAGTACTCCTTGCTGACACAAATACCATTATGTATATAATCTCTACTGTTTCTGCTAAAATGCTCATATATTGTCATTTCTATACACTTTGGATTACAGTTGGATTTATGAAATTTTATTTAGGGCCTACTTTTTACTATCTGGCGCTCTAGGTAATCTGTATATTGTCACTTATTTCCTCTTAGATTGTCTAAAGAAACTAGCAAATGATAGTTGAATTGTACTCCTTGTCTAAGAGCATCAGACAGGTTAATTCACAGGTAGAGGCTGTGAAAATGAAGTCGTCAAAGCCACATCTGACAGCCTTCTAGTAAGGTCCACTGCTGTCTGCCTGGAGGGCTGTTAAGGCCCCCTGCTCTCTACAGGGGGAGCTTCTAGTTCCATACTGTGTTCCTTCCTTAGCTGTGAAAACAAAGGAAGTGGAAGGACATTGATCCTTTTCAAAGGAATGTGACTTCAGATCATCTGGAATCATGTTGTCATTTCAGGACGTATGTGATAATCCTGAGATTATTGCACTTCAGATCGCACTTGCTGAATGCCAAGAGAAGCTTAAGAGCCTGACCTGGGTAGAGAAAAGGCTTGAGTGTTTGGAAGCCACAACAAAAGGGAAAGTGATGGTCGATGAGAAGGCCTGGAATAACCTCCTGAGCCGAGTCACTCTGCTTGAGACAGAGCTGCTGCTGTCTAAGAAGGTAGTAAATATGTAAAGCTTTCCTCGAGTACAGTGAAGCGCGCATCTTAGTGACATCTGTATTCTTTTGGAAACCACTACACATGAGGCTCCGTAGGAAATAGAAAATGTTTGGTTAGAATAAAGTCTACGTAAGTTTAACAAGTTTTCTTATACTTCCTGCAGCTATTTTTTTCTATCAAATAAGATAATTTATGAGACCTGTAAGTTGAGCTTTTCTGATTAATAGTGCTTGGAATAGTTAGAGTGAGGTAAGAATTTTTTGAAAAACTTAAAATTATTTTGTGTATTTTAGTAGGACAAAGCTTCTTCAGTTTACAGGAAAAGTTGTAGAAGACTTAAAACTGAAACTTTCTTTACACATTAACTTCAATCATAAGGTGAATTCATAGAAACAGTTACTAAATTTACTGTCTTAGTTACTATTCTGTTGCTGTGAAGAGACACCGTTACCAAAGCAGCTCTTATGAAGGAAAGCATTTAGCGGCTGGCTCACAGTTTCAGAGACTTAGTCTGTTATCAGCATCATGGCAGTGGGCATGACAGGCACTGAAGCAGTAGCTGAGAGCTACATCCTGATCCACAGGCTTAGAGACGTGGAGAAAAAGAGAAACTGAGCATCACATGGCCACTTGAAAGCCCAAAGCCCTCCTATTGATGTGCTTCTTCCAACATGGCCACACCTGCTTCAACAGGGCCATACCTCCTGATCATTCTCGAATAGTACTGCCCCTCCGCCAGGTGACTAAACATTTAAACACATGAGTCTATAGGACCATTCTTATTCAGAACACCACATTTACCGTTGCCTTATGAAGTATGATAAATATGTCTTATTTCTTAGGGTTTTGGTTTCTAGTTGTCTTATTTTTAGAGACTGGAGTTATAGATTCAAGGTTACTCTCTGCTTCTACACTTAAGTGGTTGTTTTTTGTTTTTTTATGCAGACAAATAATTACTTATTATTGGTAAATAAATTTATTAAAACTAAACATTCCCTGTGCTTTGCTTATATTTTATGTTAAGTAGCATAAATTGAATCACCTTTCATTTTATTCTAAATATTTACCTGTACGTTCCAGAATGAATGCGTAGAGCTTAATGCAGCAAGTGAAGACTCTGACTCTGTTAGTGGCTTGGATAATGTGCCCTTTGGTGAGTTCATAAATTGTATTAGTACTGATGACTTGCAAATATTTTCTGAAGAGTAGTTTTATGGGCCTTTGGCATATTTAGCATTCGTGTGTGTGTGTGTGTGTGTGTGTGTGTGTGTGTTCATGTGTGTTTGCATGGAAGCCAGAGATTCGTTTGAGACGGGTTTCACTATAATACCTAGGTCATCCTTGAACTCATGGTTCTTCTCAGTTTCCCAAGTACATGTGATTTCAAGCGTGCACCACAGAGTAGTACACAAAAGTGTGCTTTGAAATTATTAGAGAATTTTTAGCATCTATCTCCACATGTATACAAAGTATTAACTCATTTTTAACTATACCAATAACCATTTTAAGTAATTTATCTGTAAATAAAATTTCAAATATTTGATTATATTGTGTAGTGGAAAGATATCTATCAAATGTACTTTCTTCACAGATAAACAGTACAGTATGGGGGCACCAGCCAGTACGTACCGCTCATCTGGCTATAGCACAGTGTCAGCAGAATCAACGTCCAGGGGCTCCACTATTCATTGTTGTGGACTGAAAGATTTTTCGGAGGTAAGAGAAGCTGTCAGCTGCTTAGATGATTTCTAAGGTAGAGAAGCAGAAAGCATCATTTTTAGTAAATGCTGTGTAGTATGTGCTGTTGGCTAGAAAAATGCTAAAATTCTAAGTTTCCTCTCAGGGGTTCTTTGTGTTGACGAGTCTTCTTATGCGGTGTCTCAGAGTGTGTTTCATTTATTCATGGTCCATCTTTGAGGATTGTTTACTTTGAGAAATTGCCTAAATTTGTTGCTTTTTAAATTAAAGGAAACAACAATCCAGAAAATGGAAAGAATGAAAAAAATGTAAGTAACAGAAAGGGGCAACAGAAACCATTTCTCTGTAGGGAACTGTACTGGAGTGTGGTATGCGGGTGTACGCATGTGTTTTAGACCCGTGAGGCTGAGTCAGTGTGGAATTTCCTTTAAGACTCCAGTGGATAGTAAATCTACTTCCAGTTGGGTGTGTGTGATATGAGTCACTGCTTTGGTTTCCAGTAAGTGGTGTAAAACACAATTCACAGAATTTATCATGGGTTACAAAGGGCAGAGATGCTTTGGTTGATCATTAATTCAGATTTCTCTACTTCTGGAAATTGATTGACCAAAACATTATGATAGTTGGGAGACATTTTTAATATTATGATAGGCTTCAAAATTACGTTGTGTTTCCAGTGAGCTATTGATGGAGTACCACGATGATGCTTTTACTGGGGAGAAATAATATTATATCTAATTTTAGCAAAGAGTGGTTTAAAGGAAATAAATGATGAAATGGTGTCAAAATGTTTTATACCCTACTACCTTAAAAAACCACAAAACTCTTTGACATTTGGAAAATTCTAAAATAATTTATGCTGCAAGAATTGGCTGATTTATGTTTGTTCTATTTCTATGTATTAATATTAACTCTGCCTAAAATAAGGAAAACAGTCAGGTTTATCTTAGGCTCAGAAGCATATGTCTAACAGCTTCAAGCCTATTACATTATGAGTTGTGCACTTAGCTGATACATCATTTGTTCTATTTCAGGTTTGAAGAGACTGCAGAGCTACTGAAATGCTCAAGTCGCTAACTATAGAGTTTTTTGCATGAACATCTCTAGGACTTTGGCTACTTATAGATGGTATATTTAAGAATCCCTTTTATAATTTTAATATATTGTAATATTTTGTAAAGACTTTGAACTCTATTTGATAGTTGAGGTTTTTTCTTTCCTAAATAAATACTTTTAATATTTTAAGCTGTAATTGTAATGATTTTCTCTTTCAATTTTCTTGGTAACTTTCTGTTCCTGAATATTGCTGTTACAGAGTGAAGTCGTTACATCAAGCTCTGTATTTTTGTGTTGATATTTACTGGCTGTGTGCTAAGTAACATATTTTTAGAAGTAAGGGCTGGAGGACCATTGTCTACATCCTACTGAAGGCGTTGCACCTAGGACTTGTATATTGTCCCCAGGAGGCAGGCTCTCATATGTACAGTCTTGCAGTCTGTGCAGGTGAATAAATTTTAATGCAAAGTTAAAATGTTCACTGAGAACGAAACAAGTGCAGCTGTGTCTTCTTTATTAACACTGCCATACTGAAAGCATGGTTCTTTAGTGTGTTCTATGGGAAATGTGCAGAGTGCCTAACACCATCAGCACAGACATAGAGGGAGGCCATCCATGTGATACTCGGTGAAGGAGATTTTCACTTCTAAAATGAAAAGTTATCAGCTTTTAAGGGCAGAAAAAGCCTTAAAGTTAAACTGAAAGAATATTAAAATCTCTTAGAAAGTTACTATGTAAATGTCCTTCTAACTTTGTAGATAAAAATGTGATACTAATTCTGGATGATAGTCAAAATCCTGGAAAGATATCCTTCGATTTTATATTTTATGTTAGTCATCTCATTATATTACACAATTTGACTTTACTGTTGAGTGAAATATTCATTTGTTATAAATAGAAGTAACTTGAAGCAGTGTTTAGCACTTTAGTATTTGGGGTTTACACTTAAAAACTGTAATATTATGTTAGCATATAGAAGCCTATAACCTTGAATTTAGTAACATTTCAAGAGAATTTCTAGAATAAATCCTGTTGACCTTATTTCTTTTAATTGCAAGTTTTGTAAATGCTGGTACACCCCAATAGAGCACCAGCATGGGCTCACAGTGCCACCTAGTGTCTGCCACGCGACTCTCCCTTTTTAGTAATACTCATAAAACTCAACCCTAATTTCTCTCTCTCTCTCTCTCTCTCTCTCTCTCTCTCTCTCTCTCTCTCTCTTTCTGACAGGGTGTCCTGGGACTCACTGTAGAACTGGAACTCTGTGTAAAACTCACAGAGATCTTCCTGCCTCTGCCTTCCAAGTGCTAGAATTAGAGATGTGTGCCACCATGCCTGGCTTTGGGGAATAGTCCTAATCTAATATATTTATAATATACAAAATAATAGATACTGAAATTTGAAATTTTATGTTAGAAACTAGAAATCTGGAATATAAATTTCTTTGGATTCTTTCTAACAACTTTAATAAAAACAAATTTTTAATAGTGTCATATACTTAACATTTACCAAGAAACTTATATTGAAACAGCTTCTAGAAAAATAAAGTATAACTCATTGAAATTGTTGAAGATAATTGTCAAATTATTGTCATTTAGAAAATACTTTCTCGGGCTGGAGAGATGGCTCAGCAGTTAAGAGCACTGGCTGCTCTTCCAGGGGACCTGGGTTCAGTTCCAAGCACCCACATGAAGACACAACTATCTGTAACTCCACTTTCAGGGGACCCAATGTCCTCTTACAGATGTACATGAAGGCAAGACACCAATGCACATAAAATAAAAATAAATAAATACATTATTGGAAAAAAATGTTTTCTCTCAGGGCTTTGATAGTGGGTTTTAATAATAAAACATCCCCTTAGGTTAAACAGAAGGTCTTCAGGAAGGTGTAGTTTGTCATGTACCCTCAGCTAACTTTGGTTTTCAGGTTAGCCCTTAAAAGTATTGGGTTGCCAATGATGATTTTCAGTAGCCGTTTGCATTTGTTCCTAAGCTGAGAAACCAGGAAACAAGCGTGTATGGGTCTAGATGAGAGCAGGCAGGAATACTGTAAGGAAATGGAAGGTAAGTTCCTGTCAGGGTTGGGGAATAACCGTGATCACAGACTGGTCTAGGTAAAGGCAAGGACTGTCGCCCTGGTGCTGTAATGGAAGTTACGACGGAATACATTCCTTATAAAACTTACAGGCTCTTTCATGCCATTCTATACACAGAGCTTTCTGTAATTGACGGCACCTGGGGAGGCGTAAAAGACTAAAAGGACCTTGTCAGTTTACACATGGCAACACTTCGTTTAGTTCAAACAACATTAGAGCTTTGATTCTACAGTTTAATAATCCCCGGTTGTCTGTCCTTTTCTCTGGGACTTAATACTGCAGACTAAGGGCGATGCAGGAAACAGTACGAAACTTGAAACTTCAGAACTAGAGCTTAATCGCGGTGTCACCTGAGCTTTCCTGCTGAAAAATCACAGGTTTCTTGTTAGCAACAAATGGCTAGAAACGGTCCAGGGCAGACAGCAGCAGCCATGTTGAGAGCACTCAAATTGATTTTTATCGGGAACATTTGAAAAGCTGTACTTTTGTCATGATTTCCAGGAATACTTGTAGGAATAAATAGCTATACAAGTCTTTTCTTCTCTAAACCACCTAAGTGAGATCTCTCTTTCCTCGTTTTTGTGGTACTTGGGTTTGAAGACAGCTCCTCACATATTAGATTAGTATCTATCAATAAGCTAATGTCCAAATTCTCTTACTTACATGTTAAATTAAGGCCCTGGTCAGATAGTGAAGCTGTACAGAGAAAACCTGTCTCAAAATAAATAAATAAATAAATAAGGGCTGGCATTGAATTTATGATTCTCCAGCTTTATGATCCTTATAGCTAGAATCCTAGGAGATGACCCCATGTTCCACACAACATATGTTTATTTATATTTGATGAGAATTCTCTATATTGCAGATTACTCTGCAACTCGGCAGTACTGATTTGTCTGACTCCGAATTTCATGAACCTACAAACACGTGCAGCCAAACTCTGCTCAATACTAAAGTTAATTTGCTTTTGACTGTTAGGACAGAGGATTTATGCAACAAACAACCCAAATGGATGAACTGCTTGACTTTTATGTGATGGAAGAGTGCTAAAAAAAGATGGGGGCTGGAGAGATAGCTCAGCAGTTCTGAATTTTTTCTACTCTTGGAAGAACTGGGGTTCAATTTCTAGCCCCACGTGGTGGTGCACAAGTGTCCTTAACTTCAGTTCTAGGTGATCTCACACCTTTTTTTTTTGACTTTTATGATACTGGACATATATGTGGTACACAAATATACATTTGGACACAAACATAAAGGAAGAAAGAGAAAAAAGACAAAGAAGGAAATGTCTATGAGAGAACTGATGACAAGAAGGCTAAATATTTGTAGTCTCAATGGTTGAGTTCAGTTTGTATGCATCTGCCGTACAACCAACTTACTAAACCATTAGATTATAGTTCTTTGGTTAATGTAGTGTTAGGTATATGGAAGTTTCTGTCCCTCCTAGTCCTGAAGCATTTCAGTCCCAAAGAAACACACAGAGGCTTATATTAATTATAAACTGTTCGGCCTCTTAGCTTAGGCTTATTATCAGCTAGCTCTTACAACTTAAATTAACACATAATGTTTTTCTATGTTTAACCATATGACTTGGTACCTTTTTTCAGTGCAGCGTTTTCATCTTGCTTCCTCTGCAACTGAGTGGCAACTGCAGACTGAGCCTTTCCTCTTCCCAGAATTCTAGTCTGGTCGCCCCACATACACTTCCTACCTGGCAACTGGCCAATCAGTGTTTTACTAAACCAATACAAATGACAAATCTTTACAGTGTAAAAAAGCATTATTCCACAGAAATATTGAAATTTGGAGAGATCCTTGGAGGCCCCTGAATTATCACATTTCTTATAAACTTCTTGCCTCCCAACTCTTAACTCTAGTGTATGAGGACAATTTTTTATGGTAGAGTGCTGCTTTCTGCATCCCAGTCAATAGTTTCCACTATTCGCTTGTTATTTTAAAAACTTTTTCTCTGCTGTGAAGTGAGACCATGACCTGACATATTCTGAGAATTCACTATGCTGCTGACCTCCTAGCAATCTATCAAAGCTTTGAGTTACCACTGCTGGCATATTTATGAAAAAAAAACTTTTAAAGATAATTGGAATAACTTTTGATAATTATTAAAACTGTCATATTGAGCTACAGTGGAGTCAGTAAAGCTATTGTCTAGTTAGCTCTGCTACCTTCTAGAAATGTCATTCAAAGGTAAGACCCTCATCCATACATTATTAACAAATGAATTCACAATGAAAGTTCACTGAGAACCTACAAGACCCACTACCCCCCAAACCCACTGAGCCTATCACCCTTCTGGCCAAACATCCAGCTCAAGATCACAGTCCCTAGAAACAGAAGCACTGCCTGCACCAATTGGAAGAAGAAGTGAGTGACAGGTCTCCCAGCTAAACTACCCTAATCCCTAGGTCCTAAGCACCAGGGCACATTCCCTGCCCTTCGCCCTCCCATCTCATCCCCAGTAGCCAACTAGCAGGTAAGAGTCCTGCTGACAGGATGCTCTATTACCACCCCCAATCACTGGACACTGTAACCTGTAAGACCCACTCTGCCACCCAAACCCAGTGAATCCATCGCCTTCTTCATGGTCAAACATCCTGCTCAAGATCAGCAGCCCCTGGAGACACAACCACTGCTTGTACCAATTAGAAAAGAGATGGATAGATGGCAGTGGAAGAATACATTCAGTACATAAAGAGCAATGTGGCACCACCAGTACCTAGTGGTTGTACAACAGCAAGACTTGAACATTCCAACACAGGTGAAGCAGGAAAAAATTGACCTTAAAATAGCTTTATAAAGATGACAGAGACCCTTAAAAAGGAAATGATAAATCCCCTTAAAGAAATCAAGGAAAAGACAAACAAAAAATTGGAAGAAGTCAATAAATCCCATAAGGAAAGCCAAGAAAAAGCAATCAAACAGGTGAAGGAATCAGTTCAAGACTTGGAAATTGAAATAGAGGCAATAAAGAAAACACCAAGGGGATTCTAGAAATGGAAAATCTGGGTAAATAAACAGGACTATGATGTGGGAGTGTCATATATCAATCTGTTGATTTTATTGGTTAAGCAATAAAGAAACAGCTTGGCCCTGATAGGTTAAAACATAGGTGGGAGGAGTAAACAGAACAGAATGCTGGGAGGAAGAGGAAGTGAGCTCAGAGACGCCATGCTCCCCTCTCCCGGGATAGCTCTGCTCTCTGAGGCACACGCGATGAAGGCTGACCCAGGATGGACGTAGGCTAGAATCTTCCCGGGAAGCGCACCTAGCAGTGCTACACATTATTAGAAATGGGCTAGTCCAGGTGCGAGAATTAGCCTAGAAGAGGCTAGATAGAAATGGGCCAAGCAGTGTTTAAATGAATACACTTTGTGTGTTGTTATTTCGGGCATAAACTAGCAGCCCCACTGCTCTTATTACAACAGAACTAAAGAAGCAAGAATAACCAACAGAATGCAAGAAATGGAAGAAAGAATCTCCGGCTTTGAAAATATGATGGAGAAAATAGGTTCATTGTTCAAAGAG